TGAGCCCATCCTTCAAGATGCAGCTGCAGTCCTAATCCTCCAGGAAGCCCCCGAGGCCAGGGGTCCCCAACTGGTACCAGTCCATGGCCTGTTAGGAACCAGGCCGCACAGCAGGAGGTGAGTGGCTGGCGACCTAGTGAAGCTTCATCTGTATTTGCAGCCGCTCCTCAGCACTAACATCACTGCCTCAGCTCCACCTCAGATCATTAGGCATTAGATTCTCATAGGAGGACCAGTCCCTGGTGCCAAAAAGGTTGGGGACCGCTGCCCTAGGACATCTCACCCACCTAGGGCCCTGCCTACCTGAGTAACACCTAGAATAACTTGCAACTATTGTCAGGGCAATGTTCCCATTGGGCATTGAGGTATCTCTTCTACTCTGGCCTTAAAATGTTTCTCAAAGTTACTGATCTTGTTCACATTTCAGAAAGGGTACTGATGTCTTCCTAATTCAGTAAAAGCTTCTTGAAGGCAGGGTCTGAAGCTGGTGTGCACTGTGCTCTCCACACACTGAGAGGCTAGTTTCCTTGCAGCCATCACCCACTCCTACCCTCAATGCCACATGTGGGGGAAGAGGGGGCTGGGGCACCACTGGAAGGAGCTGGAACCAGGTCGAGACCAAGCAGGAGCAGATCAGCCCCGGACACCCATGGGATTGCCTCCTTAGGGAAGGGAGGTTGGAAAACCAGGCATTCCTCGTGAGCCTAGAATTCCACCCTCTCATGGCAAAGAGGCTAAAGGGGCAAAGAAGGAAGTAGAAGAGGAGTGGGTTTCTTTCCGGCTGCAGCTGGAGTCAAAGGTATAATTCCAGGGATGGAGCAAGGGCTGCTGAGTGAAGACAGAAGCCAGGAAGTGGACAAGGCCCTGCATTTATGCCTTGTTAATGAAAACCACCTGACCTGCTCTGCTTTCTGTTCCGAAGGGTAATATTTCATTATCATTTTGAAGCATTTCTTTTGAAAACATGAGTTTTGTACTATTGTGTCTATGCACCAAGCCTGGCAGTGCAGACCAGAGAAGTGAGAGGTGGGACAGGTTAGGCTGCATGCTGGCAATGGGAACCCCCAGTCCCTAGGTGCTGAAAAAAGTGCCCTCCTCTGCTCCCGAGCCAGGGCTGGAGGAGGCCCATAGGGTGCAGCCTCAGCCACCCTGTCCTCCCCCCACACTGGTCAGATCAGTGCTCTCCGGTTTCTCCCAACGACTCATACTGCTGAATGGTGGAGACCCACACACTGTATCCTGAGGCATCACGGTAAACTGGCCATGAGTCTGCCTCTCCCATCAGACAGAGCTCTCAAGGATGGTGACAACCCCATTCTCCCATCCACCCCCAGCACACACCATGTGTCACAAATGCAGCCAACACTGTATCAGCTGTGCCCAGCGCTGTCTCCCACTCAGCCCGAGACCACGTGGTCTACCCCCCACCAACTGAGCAGACACAGTGGGTGCCCTTCCCTGGGTTGGGCCAGTCAGTCTCGCTCGCACCCCGGGACTGAGGGGAACACCCCCAGGAGGTCCTGTGGCCTCAAGCTAAATCCACCATTTGGGGCAGCCATGCAAACCCAGAGAAAGCCAGCCTACAGGGAGAAGAGAAGGGACAGATGCACTGGGAGAGGCAGAGAAAATGAAACCACAGTCCAGAGAGGAAAGCTGGAGGAGGGGCTGCCTGCCAGCTTCCCATGTCCTGGGGGAGCCAGGCCACCTGCAATTGTTTGCTGCACAAGTTCCCTTTCCCTCCTCTTAACTCCCCTTTCACTTAACCTAATTGAAGGAAGTTCCTGTCCTCTGCAACAAAATTATCCCAGACACATGGTCAGAGCCCTCCCTACTTCCGGCTCAAGAGCAGGCCTGCTTATCAAGCCATGCCCACTATTTAGTTTATAAGGTGAGGCTGGTTGTGTAGGGAGGGCACTGGAGAGCAGTGCTAGGAAGGCAAGGCACAGCCAGCTGGGGCCCTGAGAGCCAGATAGCATTTGGACTTTGTACTTGAACAAATGGGGTGGAGGTGTCTGAGGAAGGCATGGCCAAAACTGTGCTTTAGGGAAATGAACATGGTAACTGGGCCTGACCGGCATGCAGGAAGGGGGCATGTCTCCCAGGCACAGTGGGTGCTTAAAAAATGCATGGAGGGCAAACAGGGAAATCTCTCTATGCCTTGATTTCCTCATCTATAAAACAGGGATATTATTAAGATACCCGCAAACTAACACATGCATTTAAAGAGCTCAAAACAGTTCCTGGTATACAGTAAGCACTCAATATGTGCTAGGTTTTTTTTTTTTTTAAGCCCATACAAAGGCTAATGTTCTCCCAAGAACCACTGGGCAGGTGCTATGGTCTGAATGTTTGTGTCCCCCAAATTCCTATGTTGAAACCTAACCCTCAATGTGTCAGTGTTAGGAGGCAGGGCCTTTGGGAGATGATTAGGTCATGAGGATGGCACTCTCATAAGTAGGATCAGTGCCCTATAAAAGAGGCCCAACAGAGCTCCCTAGCCCCTTCAGCCACATAAGGACACAAGATGTCTGCAACCTAGAAGAGGGCCTTCACCTGACCATGCTGACACCTTGATCTCAGATTTTCCAGCCTCCAGAACAGTGAGAAATAAATTTCGTTTTTTTATAAGTCTGTAATATTTTGTTAAAACAGCCTGGACTAAGATGGCAGGGAACCAGGAGGGTCAAGAATGCAGCTTCCCTCCTCTGGGCATGAAAGCAGAAGTAGGATACATCAAGAGGGCAAGGTTAATCTTTAGGGTGCCAAGGCCAGGGAGGGGAGGCCATCGTGGACCAGACTGGAAGGAGCAGAAATGGCTGGGACTGTGGGGATGGTGGCCTTCCCATCACCAAGGGAGGCTGCACCGGAGCAGATGGGAGCAACTGACAGAGGAGGCTACAGTGAAGCGGAGAACTGCAGGGCCTTGGTGGTGCTAACAGGCAGACTGCTTGATTGCAGACAAACAGCTGGGGAGGGGATGAGCCCTGTGTGCGTGCGCGCGTGCATGGAGGTTGGAGGGCCACCCGGTGCAGTCACTATGAGAAACACTGGGCATTCAGACCACCATAATGCACATACTTCTGTCCATTCAATTCTCTTAACAACCCTAATAGGTAGATACCATAAGTACACTCATTTCACAGATGGGAAAATTGAGGCAGAGAGATGCTTAATAACTTGTCTGAAGTCACACAGCTGGCAAAGCAGGGATTTGAACCCAGGCTGTCAGAGTCCGGCATCTGAACTCTTAGCTGCCAAACTGGACAGGAAATGCTGGAAAGGGATTGGTGTCCAAGGGTGAACCCCCAACTTGGGATTTCAGGCCCCGGGTACAGAATTCCAGGCACCACCTTCCCAGCCTACTGGGTATACCTGGGGGTTTGCAGGTACACACTCATGCGCCTTAGGCTCCTTGCCAGGTACCTTCTGCCAGGTTCTTCTTCCTTTGAAACTCCTCTCCATTTCTACCCACCTTTACCCATCATAGACCTGCACATTAACACCACTTATAAGCCAGGTACTGCAGACCCAAGATATCCTGGGCTCATGGCTCATGGAGGAGGGTGTCTGAGGGGCCCCACCAGGAAAAGTAAGGACAGGACAATCTCTTCCCTCAACAGAACTCCCTTGCCTAAACCCCATGCTCCATCACCTAAATCCTTTGCTGTTCCTCTAACTCAACAGTCACGAGGCCTCCTGCCCTCTTCTCTGACTCCTGGCCCTGCCCATGCTATTTATCTGCCTGAAACTCCTTTGGCATCCTGGCAGTAAACTTCTGCACAGGGCTCCATCAAGCTTCCTCTCCAGCCCATCCTCCAGTTGTCTCTCCTCTATGCTTTCAGCTCCCCCACCACTGCACTCAGCTATGCTCCCTGGGGGTAGCCATGCTCTCTGGGGCCAGTGATGCCCCAGTCCTGTGTACCTGCCAGCCCCTGGGCAGTGCTGGGCCAGGTGACAGCAACCGGATGAATGAAGACTCATTGTTTACATTACAACTGGTGGGGAGCCTGCCTCATGCACAAGGTGAAGTGGGCCCCACGTGGTGCTCCCTGCACCCTCCTCCTCCTCTGCTAACAGTCCTAGGCCAGCCCCACCCCCACTAGACTCCCCCTAGGATCTTACAAGGGTGAGGGCAGCATCCTCTCATTTGGACTTCCATTTCTCACCCAGAAGGGAGAGGTAGGGTCTCAGCGATTGCGAGATGGGTGTGTGACTCCCGGCAAGGTGCCCCTCTGCCCAGCCTCCCCAGGGTGGAGGTGGGGCTGCAGCCTGCGTGGCAGTGCCCAGTGGGCATCCGCCCCGCCCAGGCCCCGCCTGAAGAGCCCAAACGGGCGGGTCCTGGAAGCCCAGGGAAGCATCCTTGGAGGCCGCGGCCCCTCCCTGTGGAGAGGGCAGAAAATCTGCTTCCTCACCAGCCACCAGCATCAGCTTGGGGGGCACTCCTGCGGGAAGCTGCCCTACTCCAGGAGCCCTTAACCCCTTCAGCCATGCACTTCAACCAAGTTTTGCAAAGGGCATCGTCCAGGCGACGCGAACCTGCGGGCGGGGGCTCCGTGTCCTCCCGGACCTCGAGTCTGCGGGCCGCGCCCACCAGGCTGTGACCCCCGGGCCCGTGAGCCCAGAGCCTGCGGCGCGTCCAGAAGCCCCGCGCTGCCGTTGCGAGAGGGGACGGGCAGCCCCCCAGCAGATGTGCCAAACCCCCATCTGTGGGTGGGGGAACAGAGGGTGCTGGCGATGCCCTCACGACAGGGACACGCAGTCTGAGAAGCGTCTCCCAACGCCAGCAGCGCCCCCTCCTCGCCTGCAGGAACGAAGAAGTTGGGGTGCACCCCAGGACCAGCTCCGCTCACGCCCACCCGCCAGCCCCGACCCTGCGGCCTCTCCCACGCCCGACAATGCTCCCACGTCCGCCCGCTTCTGCCCAGGCCGGGGCCACCGCATCCCTGGGTTCTTTGTTGCCCGGCGATCCCCCTCCTTCAGGATCCCCGCGCTGCTCCTACCTTCGCCCCTTCGGCATCAGGCTGAGCGGTGGCGGCCCGACGCCGGCCTCCTCGGTGGGCCCGGCCGCCGCGGGGGGAGAGGATGCTGCGGCCGCTCCCCGCCGCCCCCCGGCTTTGCCTTCCTGACGC